ATCTCTTTTTTTATTTATTTTTAACTTTTTTTTAATTTGAAAAAAATATATTTTGTTGATTTTTTACAGAGAGGAAGGGAGAGGGATAGAGAGTTAGAAACATCAAGGAGAGAGAGTCATCGATCAGCTGCCTCCTGCACACCCCTCACTGGGGATGTGCCGGCAACCAAGGTACATGCCCTCAACCGGAATCGAACCCGGGACCCTTCAGTCCGCAGGCCGACGCTCTATCCACTGAGCCACACCGGTCTCGGCGGGATCTCTTCTTTTAAAGGCAAACCTTTCCCCTCGGCATCAGGACCCTGCGGGGACGAGGCTACAGAGCGGGGACACCCCCCCCCTCCCCGCCGCGGGGTCAGGCGTGGCTCCGTCGGGGACAGAGGGCGGGAAGACTTCGAGGCTGAAGTCCTCTCCCCCAATGGGCCGGCTGTGGCTGGGGAAACCCCGCAGCATCCTGGGCCACACCCAACGCCCGGACAAGGCCCGCTGGCAGCACCAGCAGCGCCAGGATACCTGCATCCCCTCAGGCGACGGCTTTCTCCCGTTAAAACGTGTGACTCTCCAGACCAGCGAAGGAACGGTTTGCAATGACAGTTATGAACAGTTTGTACTAAAGAAACACACAACAAGGCACACATAGCCAGAGTGGTTCACGCACATTCAACAATTTAAACAGCAAGAATGGATGTCCTACGTGCAGGCCAGCCCTCGAGTTAAAAGTATGGATTTTGTAGATATTTTATTTTTTTTTAAATATATTTTATTAATATTTTACAGAGAGGGAGAGAGATAGAGTTAGTAACTTCGATGAGTCATCATCGATCAGCTGCCTCTTGCACGCCCCCTACTGGGGATGTGCCCGCAACCAAGGTACATGCCCTTGACTGGAATTGAACCTGGGATCCTTCAGTCTGCAGGCCGACGCTCTATCCACTGAGCCAAACTGGTTTCAGCTGGATTTTGTAGTTATTTTAAAAACCCTCATGTCTCCGTCGTTGGAAATAAGGTGGAGCCCACACTAAGTGTTTTCAGTGCCTTTGAGAGTGATAATACTGAGAAGCTGCAGAGCAGTGAGCCCCAGACGTGGGTGAGGAGCACACAATCGTGTTAGCACCCATCTCCACAGCACCCACGGGAACGGACGGACGGACCGCAGAGGCAGCGGCAGGGAAACGGCTCTGCCGGGGAGACCCTCCCGCGGGGAGGGCTCCGGTCGGGCTGGCTCGGTGAAAACGCGTGCGTCCTGCTTGAACGCCGAGCGGCTTTCCTCCGCTGCCGGCCAGCCGGGAGCCGGGCTTCGAGCCGTCACGGAGCGCAGGACCGGAGGCGATGCCGGCGGGAGCCCCGGGCGTGGCCGCCGCCGGGTGCGTGGCCGCCAGGTCTGCTCGGTGCGTTCTCACCGCACACCGGCCGCAGCCGGAGGGCCGGCCTCGGGGCTGGGCCACTCTGTCTCCAGCAGGCGACTCCTCCGAGCCCCGGGCTCACTCCCCCTGAGCCTCGGAAGGCCCGGGTCTCCCAAGACTGTGGGTGGGAGCCGCCTTCGCTTCCAGAACCTTCCTTCTCACTGCAGATTCTTGTCAAAGCTCGCGTCTGGGGGGACCCTTAGTGAAAGCCACACGAGGTGGGGATCAGTGACAACGACGCGCGCCCCCCTCCCCCAGGCGTGGCTGGGCGGGTTGGACACCCATAAACCTCTGCGCTGCGGGACAGGTTAGAGGTGAGATGGCTTTCCCTCCCCGACGACCCCACGTCCCAGTGAATGCTCACGGCGACCCCCGAGAAGCCGCTGCTCATAAAGCAGAGACACATCCGGTTACGATGACTAACTGTCCCCAGAAAATGAGAGGAGAGTCACGTGTGCTCATGTTTCCCTGAGAAGCATAATAACCAACCAAAAGCAGAAACACAACCCTCGGGTCCCCTGGGAGCGGCCTCATCCCGGGAAGGGGGCGAGATCGTCCGAGCCGGTGACTCCCGGGAAGCCGGCCCGCACCAGGATGGCTCCCACGCCCCCCGGGCTGGCTGCGGGGACACGCGGCGCCGGCTCCTCCCCGGCCCCGCACACTCCCCGCACAGGTTGCTCCTGGGAGAGAAAGGTCACCTGAGGAGCCAGAACTGTCTCCTCCATGCTTCGCCCGGGTCACCTGGCCGCGGTTATAATGCCTCCAGAACGAGCCCCAGTCCACGCGATGGGGAAAGAACAGACTGAACACACGGCTGCAAAACGGGAGGAAAGCTGCCCAGTTCGCCATTTCAGAGCAAAGAACCACAGCGAGCCGAGATCGGTTTGGCTCAATGGATAGAGCGTCGGCTTGGGGACTGAAGGGACCGGGTTCAGTTCCGGTCAAGGGCATGTACCTTGGTTGCGGGCACGTCCCCAGTAGGGGGTGTGCAAGAGGCAGCTGATCGATGACTCTCTCTCATCGATGTTTCTAGCTCTCTATCTCTCTCCCTTCCTCTCTGTACAAAATCAATAAAATATATTAAAAAAAAAAAAAAAAAAAGAACCACAGGAGGGGGCCTGAGGGTGGAAATCGGTCGGCTTCTCTCTTAGAAGGGCCCTCCGTCTGCGCCCGGCTTCCGCGGGCGGCGCCCCGGCCACCCTCCGGGGCAGGAGGACCAGGCCCCGGCCACCGGGAGGAGAGGAGACCCCGCACGGGGCCTGCGGCCAGCGCCGGGCGGCCGGACCAACGGCGCTCTGCTGAGGGCTGCCCACGCTGGTCCCCGAGGCTCCCAGCGCGGCTTCTCCAAGCCACGGAAGGCGTGGGGGCAGGCTCTTCCCGTGACGGTCACGTCTCTCCTTTCCCGGCCCAGGCGGCGCCGTGCCGGGCGGGAAAGAGCCCACTCCGCCCCGCCCCGCCCTGAGGTAACCGGCGGGCTCGCCTCCTCGGGTGGGACCGTTACCCCACAAACACCAGCACCTGGCGCCCCAGCTCGGCTGCGTCTGCCGCTCTGACAACATCCGGCCGCACCTTTGCTGACAAAGACCTCACAGGCCCCGTCTTCTCCCGGGGAAATGCTGTCGCCGAAGCCACGGGGTGGCTCTTTCTTAGCCTCATTTGCAAAGTTACTGATGACAAAAGTAAACCAGAGAGGCTCGCCACAGATAGCCTGCGTATCATGACATAATTGGAGGCAAAAAGAAAAAAAAAAATTCCACGAGAGATGGGTCCGAGGGGCCGTGTGAGGGTCCCGCCTGCCCGTCTGGCGCCCAGCCCCGGGGAGGGGCCCACGGCCGAGGCCCCGAGCAGGGCTGACGCCCTGTCTCTCCCTCCCCTTTCGAACCACAAGGCTGGGGCGCGGGGAGAGACTCGGGGCGAAGGAGCTGAAAGCACACCTGCCGGCTGACAGAACGGAAAACTCATTAACATTTAACGGGAGAAGCCAGGGGTTTGGGAAAGAATCCATGTTATTCTCTGAAAAGCAGGTGGCTCAGACCCAGGGCATTAAGCAGCGCCCAGCAAACCCATCCGTCCGCAGAGCCTGATGCCACAGCACGGCGACGGACATGTCTTCGGAGAGCCACACAGCTTAGACTTCAACGGCTTCCACAGCCCCGCCCAGGCCGTGGTGTTTTGTGGAAGAGCCACACCCCAGGGGCCAGAGAGCCGCCTGTGGCTCGCGAGCCGCAGTTAGCCGACCACGGGCACTAAGTTTTCATTTCCCTGAAACTTCCCCGGATAGGAATGAAACCGCCGAGGCGGAGAGAGGGAGGAGCCAGGGAGGAGCCTCACGCAGTGATTTCCCATCAAACCCTGGGGGCACCCCCCCCCCCCCCCCGCCCTCATCCCCACCGCCCTCACCGAGCGCGGTCAGTTTCCTCGGAGAGCCCAACGCACCGAGAGGTGATGACGTGTCTGCCCGTCACAGGGCCCCCAGGGGAGAGGAAAACGCCCTCTGTGAGCGCTGGTCCCCGCAGCACCCCGGGCTTCTGCCTCCCCCCGGGTCCCGCCCCCGGCCACTCAGTGCTTTTTTTTAAAAATATATTTTCATTGATTTTTTTACAGAGAGGAAGAGAGAGGGATAGAGAGTTAGAAACATGGATGAGAAACATCGACCAGTCGCCTCCTGCACGCCCCCCACTGGGAATGTGCCCGCAACCAAGGTCCATGCCCTTGACGGGCATCGAACCTGGCACCTTTCAGTCCGCAGGCCCACGCTCTATCCGCTGAGCCACACCAGCTTCGGCTCAGTGCTTTCTTCACCCACGCCTGCCCTCCTCCATCATCTCCTCTCTCTTTCCCCAGAAGATAAGCTCAGATATCACGATGCCGATCTTTAATTAGGCTCAAGACACCCTCCTCGCGGGCCCTGCTGACGGACAACGGGAACGAAACTCCTGGGAAAAGGAGCTTCCTGTGCCTGGGCCTCCGGCTGTCGGCAAAGCCCCCGTGCCCTCCGGTCACCGGCGATGCCCGAGGAAGACTCTCCAAACACCGAGGCGTTTATTGCGGGTTTTTTTTTTTTTTTTAAATATCCACCATCTTCAGCTCCTGTTCCGAATTTCCCCAGAATCCCTTCACAGCTCATTGCACATCCAGTATCGAGATCCAGTTCTCACAAGGTGACAGTTGAAAAGACCATTGAGGAAAGACATCTTAGGAAAGAGAGGGTTTAAGGCAAGACATTCATTTGGGAAAGCTAATTTCTCTCCGTCGTCCGCACGGACCCACGATTCCCCTGCCTGGCCGCCGCCCTGGGCTGCACACGTCCATTCAGCCACCAGGCGCCCCGACGGCCCCCGGACACCCGCCGAGGCCCGGGGCGCCCACGGAGACCCTGGGATATCTTCGATAAGGCGTGGCCCCCGGGAACGTGGCAAGGGAGGGGGACGATCACCCCATTCCAACCGAGGACACCGGGAACTCCCTGCCAGCTGCCGTCCGATTCCCCCACCCCCGCCCCCAATGCCACTTCTTTTCCAACGAACCCAAACCCCTGGAGAAGGAGCTACGGTCGGCCAGTGGCTGTCGACACACACAGCCCTCCAGGGCTTCCCGTCACTCCTTTCCCGACGAGTGTCTGTGGGCGCCGGCCGGACCCTGGCTGCACACGTGGTTTGTCGTGGGAAAGCTGTTCTGTCCCGAGGAGCTCTCGTCCAGCTTGGTGGGCCCCGCCGGCGGCCTGTGTCCGTGGGGCTCCCGCGCCCTCTGAGTCTTTTTCACGGGGAGCAGCAGCAGGACCAGGATGCAGGCGACGTGAAGGCAGTAGTACCAGGAGCTGGAAGAGAGGGGGACGCGATGGCGGACCACGGGACCAGCGACCACCCGTCACAGCCACACCTTCGTCCGAGGGCCACACGCTCCCGCCTGCGTCTCCCGGCCACACTGACCTCCTCCCGCCCGCCCCCACCTGGAGGGACCCCCCGCCGGGCGTGCGCGCGCGCGCGTGTGTGTGTGTGTGTGTGTGTGTGTGTGTGTGTGTGCCAAGCTCCGTAGAAAGCCTTGAGGACTATAAGCGTGAGCCTCGTCGCCATATTACATTCCTTCGTGAGGGTCGGAAGGCCGTGGCTGCACAGACCCAACACGCAAGGAGCCTCGGCCCCAGAGGCCAAGGCCCAGCAGGCAGAGGGGGCCGGGCCCACAGAGGTGGCTGCTGCGCGGCCTCCCCCACTGGGCACTGTCCCTCATCAAGCCACGCTGTTCTAATGACGAAACAGACAAGCGGTGTGGATGTCACTGTCACAAAATAAAGACATGCCACATGGCCCTGGCCGGTGTGGCTCGGTGAGCAGAGCGTCGGCCTGAGGACTGAAGGGTCCCAGGTTCGATTCCGGTCAAGGGCATGTGCCTTGGTTGCGGGCACATATCCAGTGGGCGTTGTGCAGGAGGCAGCTGGTCGATGTTTCTAACTCTCTATCCCTCTCCCTTGCTCTCTGTGAAAACTCAATAAAATACATTATTTATTAAAAAATGCCACATGATTAAAAATATTAGAAATCTCATTTCCCAAAGGAAATATAAGCCCGACGGGGCCTAACCTCCTTCTACGGGGGTCGTGAGGCAGAGAACGAGGCGGAATTTCAAACAGCCCCATCCCTCTGAGAAACAGGGAACCGGCTGTTACAGCGGGACTCTGGGGCGTTTCTGAGTGTCTTCCTCCCCGGTGGCTTTCATCGCGTTCCACCCAACCATTCCCGACCCCGGGTTCTGTGCTGTCCTTCCAAACGCCAAGGTAATGAAGAATTTATGAAAGAAGAAAGGTTTTGATTGCAAAGATAACACTAACGGGGGAAATAAACCATGAAATTCAAGACAGTAATTCCTGTATCACAGAGGTGACCGGGGGCCGAGGACACAGGGCAGACAGAGGGGAGCAGAACCGGGTGCGTGAACCAGAACCAACTCACGTCATTTCCGTGAAAGGAAGTGAGAGAGGGGATGGCTCCCTGCAAAGACCAGGCTCCCCCTCGGAGAGGCTGCGGGCAGCGGCTGCCCGAGGACCGTGCTCCCAGCAGGCCCTGGTCCAGGGCTGGTGGTGAGATCGCTCGGCCAGGTCCCCGGCGCCCGTGGCTTTGGACCACAGAGGAGCCGGGGTGCGAGCAGCCGCGGGGAGAGGCCATGGCGCCATCTCCCCACCGTCCCAAGCCGCCGGGCGCTCACCTGTAGAAGGCGAAGGAGGGCCGCACGGACAGCAGCACGAAGGGCGCCACCGTGTAGCTCACGGCCAGCTGGGTGGCCGCCCAGGTGAGGGCGTCGTACAGCAGCTTCAGCGGCGGCGGCGAGAGGAAGTGGTGCCTGAGGTTACTCCTCACCTAAGCGGGACAGGGCGCCCGGGTTACCGCCGCTACGGGGCCCACGACCCCCCCCCTGCTCAGGGGGCGGGACACCCCCTCCGCCAGCCCCTCGGGGGCAGGACACCCCCTCCGCCAGCCTCTCGGGGGTGGGACACCGCCCTCACACCGTGGGCAGTGTCTAGGGGACACGCATGTAGAGAAACACGGGGGCTGGGAGCAGCTGCAGGCGACTAGTGTGCGAGTCTGGGCAAAGGGCATGAGCGAGGAGCAGCTCTTTGCAATGTTTCTTAGGCTTTAGCTGCGTTAAAGCTTAAAAACGTCTTAAAGTTAAAAATAACATTGCCCAGCCCGGCCGGCATGGCGCAGTGGCTGAGCATCAACCTGTGAACCAAGAGATCAGGGTTCGATTCCTGGTCAGGGCACAGGCCGGGCTGCGGGCTCCATCCCATGTGGGGGACGTGCAGGAGGCAGCCAAGCAATGATTCCCTCATTATTGATGTTTCTCTCTCTTTCTACCTCTGAAATCAATAAAAATGTATTTAAAACACACACACACTCACACACACTCACACACACACACACACACACACTCACACACACACACACACACTCACACACACACACACACACACACACTCACACACACACACACACTACACACACACACTCACACACACTCACACACACACACTCACACACACACTCACACACACACTCGCGCACACACACACACACTCACACACACACACTCACACACACACACTCACACACACTCACACACACACACTCACACACACTCACACACACACACACACACACACTCACACACACACTCACACACACTCACACACACACACACTCACACACACACACTCACACACACACTCACACACACACACACTCACACACACACACACACTCACACACACACACTCACACACACACACTCACACACACACACTCACACACACTCACACACACACACTCACACACACTCACACACACACACACTCACACACACACACTCACACACACACACACACTCACACACACACACACTCACACACACACACTCACACACACACACACACTCACACACACACTCACACACACACACACTCACACACACACACACTCACACACACACACTCACACACACACACACACACACACTCACACACACACACTCACACACACTCACACACACACACACACACTCACACACACACACACACACACTCACACACACACTCACACACACTCACACACACACACACTCACACACACACACTCACACACACACACACACTCACACACACACACACACACACACACTCACACACACACACACACACACTCACACACACACTCACACACACTCACACACACACACACTCACACACACACACTCACACACACACACACACACTCACACACACACACACTCACACACACACACTCACACACACACACACACTCACACACACACTCACACACACACACACTCACACACACACACACACTCACACACACACACTCACACACACACACTCACACACACACACTCACACACACTCACACACACACACTCACACACACACACTCACACACACACTCACACACACTCACACACACACACTCACACACACACACTCACACACACACACTCACACACACACACACACACTCACACACACACTCACACACACACACACTCACACACACACACACACTCACACACACACACTCACACACACACACACACACACACTCACACACACACGCCCCTTGCCGGAGCCCCTTCAGTCGCCCCTGGAAAGGGCAGCGTCTAACGAAGCGGACTGTATTCCCCGTCTCCGTCGCGGCACAGGTCCCCATGGTAACTGAGCCCAGGCCACAGGCCGGGCTGCGGGCTCGGTCCCCAGCAGGGGGCGTGCAGGAGGTGGCTGATCAATGATTCCCTCATCATGGATGTTTCTCTCTCTCTCCCTTCTTCTCTGACATCAATAAAGGAATATACTTAATAAAACAAAACAAAACACATCCTGGGGTGAGGATTAAGAAACCTCCCTGGGAAACAAAGCTGTTTCCTAATAACCGCTGTCTTCATGTTTTTAGCTTCTAGAACATTCCAGGTTTGAAATGTGAAATGTAAGCATCGTGTTCTTTATTCTCTCACGGCCCCGCTCCTCCCGCGGGCCGTCCCTGGGTGCCTGTGTGTGCAGGTATTATGTGTGTGTGTGTATGTATGTGTGTGGGCACGTGTGTATGTGTGTATGTGTGTGGGCACGTGTGTATGTGTGCATGTGTATGTGTGTAGGTATGTGCACGTGTGTATGCATGTATGTGGGCATGTGTGGGCATGTATGTGTGTAGGCGTGCATGTGTGTAGGCGTGTGGGCATGTATGTGTGTGGGTATGTATGTGTATGTATGTATATGTGTAGGTATGCATGTAGGTTGTGTGTGGGGGGTGTGTGTGTGTACGTGTGTGTATGTGTGTAGGTATGTGTGTCTGCAGGTATATATGTGTGTGTAGGTGTGTGTATAGGTGTGTGTATATGTGTGTGTAGGGGTGTGTGTTGGGTTGTGTAGGTGTGTGTGGGTGTGTGTAGGTGTGTGTAGGTGTGTGTGTAGGTGTGTGTAGGTGGGTGTGGGGGGGGTGTAGGGGTGTGTGTGTGTGTGTAGGTGTGTGTGTAGGGGTGTGTGTGTGTGTTTGTGTAGGTATGTATATGTGTGTGTAGGTGTGTGTGTGGGGTGTAGGTGTGTGTGTGTGTGTGTAGGTGTGTGTGTGTGGGTGTGTAGGTGTGTGTGTAGGTGTATGTATGTGTGTGTGTGTAGGTGTGTGGGTGTGTGTGTGTAGGTGTAGGTGTGTGTGTAGGTGTGTGTGTGTGTGTAGGTGTGTGTGTGTGTGTGTGTGTGTGTAGGTGTATAGGTATGTGTGTGTGTGTAGGTATGTATATGTGTGTGTAGGTGTGTGTGTGGGGGGTATAGGTGTTTGTAGGTGTGTGTATGTGTGAGTGTGTGTAGGTGTGTGTGTATGAGTGTGTGTATGTGTGTGTGTGTGAGTGTGTGTAGGTGTGTGTGTATGAGTGTGTGTATGTGTGTGTGTGTGAGTGTGTGTAGGTGTGTGTGTGTGTGTGTGTAGGTGTGTGTGTGGGGGGTATAGGTGTTTGTAGGTGTGTGTATGTGTGTGTGTGTGAGTGTGTATAGGTGTGTGTGTGTGAGTGTGTGTGAGTGTGTGTAGGTGTGTGTGTGTGAGTGTGTGTAGGTGTGTGTAGGTATGTAGGGGTGTGTGTGTGTGTGTGTGTTGGGGGCGGGGGGGGGGGAACCCCGCACTTACGGCTCGCGCTGCCAGCGTCACCAGCACCGCGGTGAGGAAGGTCAGGTAGTAGCCGGGGTACACGCCGTGCCAGACGGCGGACAGCACGAAGGTCTGGACGGTGGGGTTCCACGTGGTCCGTTCGTAGCACACCCTGGGGGCGGGAGGCACGGCCAGGAGCCAGGTCAGCGCGGCCAGGCCGCGGGTTCCAGGCCGGGACACAGCCACGCATCCCCTCAGGCCACGGGCCATGACCTGCGCTGCCACCTGCTGGCCTGGGGAGGGCTCGGGGGAGGGCGCACCTTTTGAGCCAGAGAGCCGTCTGGATGTTCCAGTTGTCCAGGAACATCTTGAAGCTCGTGGACCCCTGAAAAGCAGGCAAGGTTTTCCGTGGCCGGACAGACGAGGGCGCCTGAACGGGAGCGACAGGCCCCACGGCGCTAAAAATAAGGGGCGTGGCCGTGGCCGTGGCCGTGGCTCCGTGCCTGCACACGGCCCTTCTGACCCGGTGAGGGGCCATCGGGAGCGCGTGCCTCAGGGCACACCCGCCAGCTCAGGCCCTCACCCTCCTCTCCTGTGAGTGAGCAGTCCCGGGGGGGGGGGGGGGGAATTATCCCCAAGAAAGACCCCACGGCAGGAGCAAAGGACGCGGGCTCCCCGCGAGGAGGGACGTGCTGGAAGCCACCTGCCGGGCTCCCTGCGCCGGCCCTGCAGCCCCCCTCCCGCCTGGCGCCTCCGCCGCCCGCCTCCGCCTGCAGCCCTGCTGGGCTCCGCCCTGGCTTCTCCCGTCCGAGAGCCTGGGTCCTGGCTCAGTGGAGGGATGTGAATCATATTAAAGGTCCTCCAGCACGCCCTGGCCCATGCGGCTCAGTGGACAGAGCATCCGCCTGCGGACTGAAGGGCCCCGGGTTCGATTCCGGCCAAGGGCACCAGTCGGGGTTGTGGTTCAATCCCCAGGAGGCAGCCGATCAATGAGTCTCTCATCATTCATGTGTGTGTCTCTCTCCCTCTCCCGTCCTCTCTGAAATCAATACAGATATATTTTTAAAACCCTCTGCACCCGCCCTGGCCGGCACCTCAGACCTCGGAGAGCCAGTCGTGGCTCTTGGGAGTGCCGCCGGCGGCGCCCTCCCGGCGCGCACCCACCTCTATCTGCCGGATCCGCAGGTTGGAGACCAGGTCCCAGCGGGCCGCCCCGCGCCGGTCGAAGCCCCGGAACCCGAAGCCGGCGGCGTTGTTGATGGCGTCGGCTGCAGGGAGGGGAGGGGGGTGAAGAGCCGCGTCCCACCCACCCACCCGGTCCTCCCGAAGGGTGCGCCACGCCCGCAGCAGCCCCGTCTCCACCAGGGAAAACGAGTGTGTTCTAAGGCGACCGGACGGCCCGCTTGGCGGGACTGTTCCAATTTTTAACGATTTGTCCCGAGTCCCGCGGCGTTTTTAAAAAGCTGCGATTTTGGGAAAGATGGGGGACTTTTATAAAACACCGCGGGCGCGGGACCAATTGTTAAAAACCGTGACTGTCCTGCCAGAAGCGGGCCGTCTGGTCACCTTAGTGTATCCCGTGTCTGCGTGACACCGCCGGCCTCGGGGGTCCCCGGCCGCCCCCGGGCCGCCCCCGGGCCCTGTCCTCTGGGGTGGACGGGAGCCCGAGGCGGCGTCTGCCACGCAGGCAGCTGCCTGCTGCCCGGCGGCTCTCCCCTCTGCCCGGCGGGACACACGCGCACACTGACCGAACGCGTCCCCGCGCTGCTCACCCAGCGTCCACGCGAAGTAGTACTTGGGCCTGGCCGCCAGGAGCGAGACGTACAGGTACAGGGCCTTGGCCGGCCACGAGGCCGTGGCTCGGAAGTGCTCGTCGATGTTGTGCTCCACGGGCAGCACGTTCGAGACGGTCAGGTGGGCCAGCAGCGACAGGCCGCACACCGCCAGCTTCTGCACCACGGCCGCCTGCGTGTGAGGGAGACGGGTCATGGCCAACCCACCCGTCTGAGGGGCGTCACCCCCAACCCACCCCCTGACTCACCCCAAGGGGCATCAGTACCCAACCACCCCGAGGCGTCACGGCCTAACCCATCCCCTCAATAGGGCATCACCCCCTAACCCAGCGGTGGGCAAACTCATCAGCCCACAGAACCAAATATCAACAGCACAACGATTGAAATTTCTTTTGAGCCAAAACCGGTTTGGCTCAGTGGTAGAGCGTCGGTCTGCGGACTGAAGGGTCCCAGGTTCGATTCCGGTCAAGGGCATGTATCTGGGTTGCGGGCACATCCCCAGTAGGGTGTGTGCAGGAGGCGGCTGGTCGATGTTTCTCTCTCACTGACGTTTCTAGCTCTCTATCCCTCTCTCCTCTTCTCTGTAAAAAAGCAATAAAATATATATATTTTTTTTTTAAAAAAGAAATTTCTTTTGAGAGCCAGATTTTTAAAACTTAAACTTCTTCTAACGCCACGTCTTCAACACAGACTCGCCCAGGCCGTGGTGTTTTGTGCAAGAGCCACACTCAAGGGGCCAGAGAGCCGCCTGTGGCTCACAAGCCACAGCTTGCCCACCACGGCTCCAACCAATTGAGCTACCTGGCCAGGGATTGCCAAGTATTTTTAAAAACACAGATGGGTCAATTCAAAACTTGACAACATTCGGCCCTTGCCGGTGTGGCTCCGTGGATAGAGCCTCGGCCTGCAGACTGAAGGGTTCCGGGTTCGATCCGGTCAAGGGCATCATCATTCATGTCCGGGTTGTGGGTTCCATTCCCAGGAGGGGGCGTGTGGGAGGCAGCCGACCCGTGATTCTCTCTCATCACAGATGTTTCTACCTCTATCTCTCTTCCTCTCTGACATCAATAAACATGTATTTTTACAAAAACAAACTTGCGAACATTCGTATCTCTAAAGGCCCAGGAGCCTCTGCCTCGCAGGCGGGCCCCGGGGCGCGGGCTCTCACGTTCGGGGACGGCTCAGCGCCCGGGCCGGGAGGCCCCGCCCCGCCGTCCTCGCCCGGCCGCGGCGTCCGGTGGGCGCGGCCCTCGATGAAGGAGATGTAGTCCTTGTAGGAGCAGAGCGGGCCGGCCAGGATGCCCATAAAGTTGCAGTTGTAGCTCAGGTACTCCAGGAGGCTGGGCATGCGCCTGCGGGCAGAGAGGCCATGAGACAGACAGACGGACAGACGCACAGACGGACAGAGCGCACCGGAGACTCTGCGGGGACCGCCGCGCCCGCCGCCCGCCCGCCGCCTCCAGCACAGAGCCCACGCACTCAGCGGTTCTGAACACAAGAGTTTGCACACGGATCTTCAGGGCAATGGCACAGGGTTTCTACAGATTCTTCACAGGAACACAAGCCTCCCAGTAAGTGGACAGGACCAGGCAGAGAGCAGCGCCCCCGCCCAGCCTGCCATCTGCTCCTGGGAGACGTGTGGCCCGGCCGGGTGGCTCAGAAGGTGAGCCTCGACCTATGAGCCAGGAGGTCACAGTTCGATTCCCGGTCAGGGCACTGGCCGGGGCTGCAGGCTCACCCCCATTGGGGGCGTGCAGGAGGCAGCCGATCCTTGATTCTCTCTCATCACTGATGCTTCTCTCTCTCTCACCCTCTCCCTTCCTCTCTGAAATCATTAAAAAATGTTATTATTTATTTTTTATTTTTTTAATATATATTTTATTGATTTTTTTTTTACAAAGAGGAAGGGAGAGAGATAGAGAGCCAGAAATGTCGTGAAAGAGAAACATCGATCAGCTGCTTCCTGCACACCCCCCACCGGGGATGCACCCGCAACCAAGGTATATGCCCTTGACCGGAATCGAACCCCGGACCTTTCAGTCCGCAGGCCGACACTCTACCACTGAGCCAAACCGGTTTCGGCTAAAAAATGTTTTTAAATAAACAGCAAAAAACAGGCAGAGAGAAAACAGTGTTTCCCGCCCACATGACACCCACGGGGCCGCCACTTACTGGGCTGCCTGTCGGGTCTCTCACCATCGTCTACACTGCAAAGTGTTTCTCCTCACGGCCACCGACCCCGCCGCCGCCCACTGGCCCGCCCGCAGCCGGCACAAAGGGGCGCCTGTGCGTCCACAACAGCCCATTGTGGCCCAGCTATTTCAGGGCCCAGAGCCACGCCGGCCCCCGCGCAGCCCCGCCTCAAACACCCCTCCCCTCCCCTCCCCGCACGGCCTCGCTCTGCGCCAGGACGGCGGCCACGCCGAGCCCCGGAACTCGCTGACATCCTCCCCGGCTCCGCTGTCCTACCAAACTGGCCGCCTCCCGGACCCCAGTGCTAAAATGAGAACCACGCGCGGTCCTGTTCTCTCCACGGCTGACACTCCACGCGTCCAGCCCTCCTTCCGAGAGTCCTCCTGGACGTGACCTGTGCGACCCGGCCGGGCCTCTCTGCCCGCGCTCCTGAGGGCCGGACAGGACTCCTGTGGCCGGGCTGTCCTGTGCCCGCAGGGTGCTCCGGCCTCTCCCTCCTCCCACCCGGTGCCAGCAGCACCCCCTCCCCGGCGACAACAGACGCGGCTCAGGCGTCCTCCCGTGCCTCCTGGGCCACCTCCGCCCCCAGGGACGGCTGCTCAGCGGGGGACGAGGATCCAGCGGGAACATGACCAGCTCCTCCTCACCAGCTCACCACCAGGGCCCGGGGGTGCGGGCAGGGAGGCGGGCTCCGGAGGGAGAGCGAGGCCCGGGCAGCGACAGGCACTGCGCGGAGCGGGAGGGCGGCGGCTATGTGCGTTCTCCCGGCCTTCCCGGCAGAGAGCTCTTCCTTAAGCCAGCGGGCGGCAAACCGCGGCTCTTCGGCCCCTGGAGGGTTCTAACGCCGCTTGTTCAAAGCAGACGGGCCAGGCCGAACACGGAGGTCTGCGCGTGGCCGCGGGGTCTGCATCGCACTGTCCGTGCGCCCTCACGTGGTGTTTCGTGAAAGAGCCGCACAAGGGGCCGCACACCCACGTGTGGCTCAGGAGCCGCGGTTTGCCGCCCGCGGCCTTGACCTCGTCGGCAGGGCGCCGGTCACAAACCATGCGGAAGTCAACGCGACGGCCCCCGAGGAAGCGGGTCTTGGTTACCGGAAAGCACGCTCCGCGCGCCGCCCTGCTGGCACGGCGCCTCCGCCCCGCCGGCATCACGCTGGCGGCCGGCACCGGGCAGCTCAGCCCGACGCCCCCTCACGCAGGGCGGCACGGAGAGCGGCGCCCACCGGCGCTCACCGGCTCCGGGTCCCGTGGGGGCGGGGCGATGGGGCAGACGCCTCACGGTACCAGGAGGCGCGTGCCGTGCGGCGACACAGTCACGGCCCGTGGAGCCCGAGGAGGCTGGCTCGCCAAGGCGGGGGGCCCGGCCGGGGTGTGCGTGGGGAGGACGCTGGGTCTCCACGAAGGAAGCACCTCCCGCAGGACGAGCCGGCCGGGGCCGGTGAGACAGCGCGGAGCAGGTGGGACACGATCAAGGGGCACGCACCTGACAGCCAGGTCCCTCTGCGACGGAGTCAGGTCCTCGTCCTTCCGGAACATCCCTGGGACACAGACAGGCACTGCCGTCAGCGGCCGATTCTCCAGAGAGAAAAGTGCTGCGCTCCCGGCTCCCACGCCCATCCTTTCCTCGTCTGCAGTTCACACGCCATCCCAGCGGAGGCACTGGCTCCCTCTGGCCCGTCAACACCAGGAGCTCCGTCCTGTCCCGGCCTCGGCGGAGGCCAGCGTGTCTGGGACGGGGTGAGGGGAGCGCACGCCCCAGGGACTAAGGAGGCTCCTTCAGGGGAATTCCTTCTGAGTTAGGGAACCCCCAGAGTGCACGTACGTCAGAAGTGCTGTGACGTGTCAGAAGGGGCGTGAACGTGTTTCTGTTGCCGGATGGCTACAGGGCCAACAGCAGGGCTGCGGGAGGACCGGCTTCCTCATCCCCACACGGCTCTCCACCACCTCCTCCCACTCACCTGTCCCCACGCTGAAGGATGCTAGTACGATTGCACGTCAACCCACTAGGTCCGAAACCCAACGTGAAGGCCAAAGGAGGACCACAGGGAGAGGCTAGCAATAGCTGACACGGGTTTGGCTCAGTGGACAGAACGTCAGCCTGTGAACTGAAAGGTCCCGGGTTCGATTCTGGTCAGGGGCATGTACCTTGGTTGCGGGCACATCCCCAGGAGGGGGTGTGCAAGAGGCAGCTGGTTAATGTTTCTCTCTCATCGATGTTTCTAGCTCTCTATCCCTCTCCCTTCCTCTCTGTAAAAAATCAATAAAATACATTTTAAATAAAGAAATAAATAAAAATAAAAACGTGCGTGTGCGTATAAGGGAGAGAGGGGAGGGGGGAACCATTCACATTTTATTTTTATTTCTCTCCTGTTTCCTGCTTACTCTGCATTTCTGACCCAGACGCCCCAGACAGCGCACAGCCGGTGCTCCCTCGGGGAAAGAAGACGCAAACCAATGGACGTGCCCCTGACCGGAATCGAACCCGGGACCTTTCAGTCCGCAGGCCGACACTCTGCCGCTGAGCCACACCGGTTTTGGGAACCATTCACATTTTAATACAAATGTGGCGCAGAGGGGAAGCCGAAACGAGTGAAACTTTATTCGTTTCTGCTTCCCCAAACACCTACTAGCTTTACGTTCTAAATCGCCTCTGATGAGGGTCATAGGACGGAGTCACACCATTTCCTTTGCTTTTGTCACTCAACTGAACGCAAAACTGAGATAAAAATACGGCTTCCCGGAGCCCAGGCCGCGTTCAGGGCTCTCTGCCCGCCTCGCCTCCACCCCTTCCTCAGAGCAGGAAGCAGGGTCCTGCCTCCGGCGAGGGACGGGCTGACCGGGATCTCTTCCGGGGACGCGAGGAAACTTCTGGATTCTTACCGTCGCGAACCTCGAACGCCAGGCTGGTGATCTTCTGGGTGATTATCATCATGGGGCTGAGACAGAACAGAGAGCAAAACGCGTCATCAGGGCGCCTTAAAGCAATGGCTCTGGCACAGGAAAGAGCTTATTCTGCTTATACGACTACAAAACCTGAATGTCTGTTTTTAACACAAATGAAGACCTCCAGGGGACGGCAGAGAGAGCTGCGGCTGCTGTGTGTGTGTGTGGGGGGGGGGGGGGGGCGGGCTGGGACAGAGCACTCGGGACGCGCTCGTCCACAAAACGAGGTCGCGTGGGAGCAGGGCGGGCTGGAGACCGCCCGTCGCCTGCCTGTGCCCCGCTGCCTGCCTGTGGCCAGCGCTTCCTCAGAACTGACCCCGCTGCCCGCTGCTCAGGGCTGGGCTCCCAGGTGGGAAGGGAGCTGCTGGGGGAAGGCGTCTGGGTCGGAAATGCAGAGTAAGCAGGTCGGAAACAGGAGAGAGAGAGGATGCTGCCCACCCCGCCCGGAGCCAGGCCGGGCGGCTGTCCGGGACGCCCAGACGACGCCCAGCCCGGCGCTGCCGCGGGGAAGGAAGAGTGAGCATCCCGCCCGCCGGTGAGGCGGCTCTGGTCCCGTCCCCGTCTCCCACGCTGGTCACAGGGAGAACCAGATTCCGCGGGAACGCCGGAGGGCGCATGTCTGCCCTTCAGCTGTGCCCGGGCACCAGACAGAAGCCCGAGGACCGCCGCCTGGCTGGTGCAGTCATCGAACCAGGAAGCCCTGTCTGGGCTGCAGGTAGGACGTGGGCCGCCCCCTGCAGGTCCCGGGAAGGACTGCAGCCCGGAGCCGCAGGAGGCCTTGGACCCCAGCCAGGTGGGTCCCGCCCTCCCTCCTCTTCCTTCCCCTGCTCAGACTGGTCGGTGGCCCCCATCCACGGAAACGTTTGGTCCCCGCCAGGAGGTGCTGGAAACTTGGCTCTTGATGTTTGGTTCTGCCCACAGCGTCCATGAAGATGTGGCCCTCGCTGACCCACCCACCTGACCCACCACCTGACCCAGCCACCTGACCCACCACCTGACCCAACACCTGTCCCAGACATCTGACCCACCACCTGACCCAGCCACCTGACTCAGCCACCTGACCCACCACCTGACCCACCCACCTGACTCAGCCACCTGACCTACCACCTGACCCAGCCACCTGACCCAGCCACCTGACCCACCACCTGACACCAGAGCCGTGACCACCAGGCTGGGGGCGGGGGGTTGTATGATGGCAATGCAGCCACAGCACAACTGCTGGGCCAATAACATGTTGGGATTCGGTTAGGTGGGCGGCAAACTGCAGCTCACGAGCCACATGCGGCTCTTTGGCCCCTGGAGTGTGGCTCTTCCACAAAACACCACGCCCGGGCAAGTCTATGTTGAAGAAGTGGTGTTAGGAGACGTTTAAGTTTTAAAAACGTGGCTCTCTGAAGAAATGTCAGTCGTTGTGCTGTTGGTATCTGGCTCTGGGCTCTGGGGACTAATGAGTCTGCCGACCGCTGGTGTAGACCAAGAGCAGACAGAAACGTGACGCTGTCTGAACCCGAGACTGCTTCCTCAGTGTGGCCGTGTGGGCAGGACCAAAGACCACTAACCCTGGGACACGTGGAGACCCCGGCCCTGTGGCTCAGCCGCTGGGTGTTCACCCTGAACCAAGAGCTCGCCGGTTCGATTCCCGGAACCTCATCTCATCTCCTCTCGTCTCGTCTCAGCCGAGGCATTTCCTTCCCAGGACGTGCCCCTCACCGCTGTCTCCTCTACCAGACGCACTGCTGCTCTAAGACCTGCTGTTCCTGTGAGGACGTCTCTGAGGGACGGAGCGAACAGCCCTTCCGCCCAGAATCACTGGCGCCCGGCACCACGGCCCCTAAATAACACCTTCCCACACCAGGCCACCAGGACGCCTCGGCAGGCCCTGCCACTCCCCCTGCGCCGGCCACACTCCCTCCTGCGGCTCCCAGGCCTGAGCGCGCTCCCCCTCCGCTCTGGAACCGTCGCCACACTGTGCGCCCCCTCACTGTGGGCCGGGCTCTCGTGGCCACACTGTGCGCCCCCCTCACTGCGGGCCGGGCTCTCGTGGCCACACTGTGCGCCCCTCACTGCGGGCTGGGCTCTCGTAGCCACACTGTGCGCCCCTCACTGCGGGCCGGGCTCTCGTGGCCACACTGTGCGCCCCTCACTGCGGGCTGGGCTCTCGTAGCCACACTGTGCGCCCCTCACTGCGGGCCGGGCTCTCGTGGCCACACTGTGCGCCCCTCACTGCGGGCCGGCTCGAGGGGCCACACTGTGCGCCCCTCACTGCGGGCCGGGCTCTCGTGGCCACACTGTGCGCCCCTCACTGCGGGCCGGGCTCTCGTCGCCACACTGTGCGCCCCTCACTGCGGGCCGGCTCGAGGGGCCACACTGTGCGCCCCTCACTGCGGGCCGGGCTCTCGTGGCCACACTGTGCGCCCCTCACTGCGGGCCGGCTTGAGGGGCGAACAGGGGTAAAGCCACCTCACCCTCTTCTTTCCTCTGTGCCCTGCAGCCCTAAGCTCTCCCTGCAGCCGTGCATGAGCGGCCTCCGGTCCAGCCGTCGGGGCGGGACGGGAGGACAGACTGCGGACCGTCTGGGGAGGGGCTGGGGGAGCAGGCGGCGGGGAACAGGGAGAAGCGCGAGGAGGAGGCAGCGAGGGGAGCACAGCGAGAGAGCCAGGAGGGTCCCCAGCAGACCAGACAGGCCGCCCGCCGCACAGACCCCGTGCACAGGGCCCCGCGCGCAGAGGGCGTTTCTAAGCGCCGGAACGTGGACTGGCTTCTCCTGACGCCACCTGGTCACGGACATGTTTCTGCGACAGAGTGACTGCACGGTCTTTTCCCTTACAACCCCACTGACACACACACACACACACATGCGCACACACCACACGCATACACGCGCACACAGCACACGTACACACCACATGCATACACGTGCACACACCACACGCACACACCACACGCACACACCACACGCACACCACACGCACGCACACGCACACACCACACACACACCACACGCACGCACACATGCACACACCACACGCACACACCACACGCACGCACACGCACATGCATACACGCACACGCACACCACACGCACACACCACGCACACACACCACACGCACACACCACACGCATGCACACGCACATGCATACACGCACACACGCACACACCACACACACATACCGCACGCACGCATACGCACATCACACGCATACACACACCACACACACCACACACACATACCACATGCACGCACACGCACATGCACACGCACACACACATGCACACAGAGTGAGTCTCCCTCGCGCGTGCCCGTGAGACGGCCGGGGAAAGAGCTGCCGGGGGCCCCTCAGCAGAGCTGGCCTCCTCCCGGCTCCCGTTCCCGCGACAGCCCCTGCACAAGGGGGCGCTCTCTCCGCTCCACCGGCCGCTGCAGCCACAGGAGGCTGTTCCCTTGACCCAGGCTCCTCTCTGCTACAGCGCTCAGCGCTCCTGCTGCCCAGAGGTTCCATCAGGGGAGCCTGCCTCCAGGGGCTTTTCTCTGAGAGAGAGAGAGAGAGAGAGAGAGAGAGAGGGAGGGAGAGAGAGGGAGAGAGAGGGAGAGAGAGTGAAGTGGGAAGGCCCTTCAGCTGAGTCCGGCCAGGATGGTCCCTGCAGCCAATCTGTCCGTCTGATGCAGACCAGCCCCGATGCTGGGCGGTGTCTTTCCTGACGGACAGTCACACACCCGCTGCGAGTTACGGCGCTAGGCGTGACCTCGCTCTCCGAAGGCGACAGGGAGGGGCTCCGGTGCGGATCGTTAAATCGCCGGCTCAGCGCTGTTTCCGGTGACTCCGCCGCGTGGGCCCGCGCCCGGCCAGGCTCCCGGCCCGCTCCCCGAGGGGGTGCTCCTTCGCTGGGGTCTCCGGGTCAGGACGCTCGGGCGTCCAGGGCGCCCCTGTTCCGGGAAGCTGGTTCCCGCGCGGCGCTGGTCCCCCAAACACACACACTGGTCCTCCTCCCGATGGGTGAGGACTCAGTGTCTGCCTGCAGGCTCCCGAGGACGCTCGTGGGCCCAACCTGCCGGGTCCACTCACACGCCATCTCCCCGGCGGACGAGAGCCGGGCAGCACCGGCCCCGGCCCGACCCCCGGGGTCTCAGTCCCGTGGGCGCCGGCCCAACCCCCCGCGTCTCAGTCCCGTGGGCGCCGGCCCGACCCCCCGCGTCTCAGTCCCGTGGGCGCCGGCCCGACCCCCGGGCGGGGTCTCAGTCCCGTGGGCGCCGGCCAGTCCCCCGGGGTCTCAGTCCCGTGGGCGCCGGCCCGACCCCCCGCGTCTCAGTCCCGTGGGCGCCGGCCAGTCCCCTGCGTCTCAGTCCCGTGGGCACCGGCCAGTCCCCCGGGCGGGGGTCTCAGTCCCGTGGGCACCGGCCCGACCCCCCGCGTCTCAGTCCCGTGGGCGCCGGCCAGTCCCCCGCGTCTCAGTCCCGTGGGCGCCGGCCCGACCCCCCGCGTCTCAGTCCCGTGGGCGCCGGCCAGTCCCCCGGGGTCTCAGTCCCGTGGGCGCTGCCCACGGCCGGAGCGGTCTCGGGTGAGGCCAGCGTGCCTGGCCCGGCCTTGTGTCCTTTGGAAGCGATTCCCTCGCGCCGGCCTGTGTGAAGCGGTCTGAGGGCAGTGAGAGCGGCCTTCACCTCAGCAAGGAGCAGGGCGATTCCCCGCTCACACTCGGGTCCGCAGGCTGCCCGCGGCTCCGCCCAGCTCCGCCCGGCTGCTGGGCGGTTTCCTCCACAGCCGGTTCCGTCCAGCTTCTGCACGTGGCCGTCCTCCGGCCGGACGTCAGGCGCCGTGTATCCTGTCGGTGGTTGGGATGGACGTCCAGGCGGGTCTTCGTGTCCGGTTCCAGGGCGTGCGGTGGCTCAGAGAGGCCGGAGACTGCCGGCAGCTCCCGCCCCCTCCGGAGGCCAGTCCTGGGGACGTGGCCCGGCTGGTCTCCCCGCAGACATGGGGTGGGCCTGTGACCGGCAGAGAGGACCGCAGAGGACGAGGGCCCCTCGGCAGGAAAGAGCCGAGTCCGCCCCACCTTCCGAGGGGCCAGGAGGAGGGAGAGAGAACTTTCCTGCAGAGGGGGAGGCGGGACGCGGGAGCCGTGCCCCGGGGTGGTCCCGGGAGACCAGCACCCTGGCCCGAAGGAAGGACGCCCGAGGACACCGAGAGGCAGGGCAGCCGCCAGAGCACATGCAGAAGCTGCCGAGGCCGGAGGAAGGGGAGAGAGCACAGAGAGGGAGAGGGGGTGAGGGAGAGAGAGAGGGTGAGGGGGTGGGCTCGGGGGGCTGGTGGGCAAGGACCGCAGACATTTCTACCGGAATCGGGAACAGCGTTCAATGCCAGACGCCAAGGGGCAAGCGTGATGGCTGCCTGTTTAGACTCGCTCCGTGGTTGGCAAACCCCGGCTCGCGAGCCACATGCGGCTGGTTGGCCCCTTGAGTGTGGCTCTTCCACAAAACACCCCGTGTGGGCGCGCACGTACAGTGCGATGGAAACTTCGTGGCCCTCACGCAGACGTGGCTTTCGGCCTGGGCGAGTCTATTTTGAAGAACAGACGTTAGAACACTCCAGGGGCCCAAGAGCCGTAGGTGGCCGAGAGCCACGGTTTGCCGACCACTGGGCTCGTTCACGCCCGTGGGAGAGGAGAGGCTGCGTGGTGACTTTTGTAACACGACAGGAGACCACGTGACAAGGACATTTCTACATTCGCAACAGGCTTTTCGACTGGCATGTTCATCACCGCTTTTCACGGGAGCTACAAGGGAAACTACGTATTGCCCTTTAGCCCACAGGTTAGAGTAGAAAGGAAAAGAAAAAAAAGGCTACTAAATCAAAATGTTCGTCTTACCCTGAAAAATCAGCGGAATATTGTCCATAATCAAAGATATAGACTCTAGTAATTTGGCACACTATGAGGTATCCCAAAGCAAACACAAAACAACATCTGGAAAACAAAAACAGGCTGGATTAGTGAAAATAAAAGGTGCACTCTGTTCAAGAACACATTTCAGCAACCCGTTAGCTAGGGGACAGGGTTCAGGGCTTCAGTATCGCCAGATCCTCTCCCTGGGGCTTTCTCCGAGGAATTCTGAAAACTCAGTTCCCGCTCCGGGCGCCCGAGCGCGGGACCCTCGGCGGCAAACGCAGGCCATGGCGCCTTCACACTCCATCGTGGGCCTGACCATCGTGCTCGTTCTACGTGTCCCTCCTTCCTCCTAGAAAACAGTGCTCAGCACCACACTGTCTGGCTGAAATGCACAGTCAGTGAACGCTTCATGGGATTTTTGCACACGTGTCCTCCGAGGTCTCTGAGCATGCATCCTCCGTGGGCGTCAGACCTGCAGGTCCTCACACTGTTAGGCATGCAGCCGTGTGGGTTTTCGCCTTAAAACGCCTGGAAGCGAGCTGTGATAACCAAGGGGGTGGGGGGTGGATTTACACATCGAGGACACAGACCGGAAGCAGATCCCGGGCTGCACGGCACGGCCTGGCGGGAAGGCTGTGGGAAGCGGTGGGGAGGGGACGGTTACCTCCCGGGAGTGAACGTCTGGGGGCGAAAGGCCTGTGGTCCCTGCGGCCACGCGATCCTCACCGGTGAGAGCACGGTGCACAGGACAAAGCCACGCACACTGAGCGGTGGGCAAATATTCAATGTGCTCAAGCGGGGAAGGACTGTCTCATCATTTCTAACATTAGATGTATGTACACGTTATAGAAGAAATAACGGAAAACAAACATGTTTGGCTAGGTTAAAATTTTACATTCTTCACGGAGGCAATTCGGGTGGTTTATGAAAGATTGTTTCAAACTCTAGACAAAGAGGCAACCCCAATCCCTGGGCTGGGAAGAGGGGACAGCTTTACCCAGGGAGCACGCTCCCAGCAGCCACCTGATGGGGCAGCCGCACGCGCGCGCACACACACACACACGCACACGCACACGCACACGCACACGGCGTAGACACATCCAACGCAAAACTGCGCCCGGCCTCGGGGGCAGCCACGTTTCCCAAAGCCGCGGCAGCACCTCCGTCCACCGGCTCCTCCGCAGCCCGGCCAGCGCCCCCCAGGAGAAGCCACTGTGCGCCCCGCGGGCTGCGCCGGCCGAGCTGTGGGGGTCCCTGCTCCCAAGGGAGCCCACGCTGAGCCGGGCAGTCCCACTTCCCGCCGTGCAGGAGGTGGCCGCGGAGAGCGTGACCGTCGGAGGCCCTGGAAGATGGGACGCAGACGGAGGGAGGGTCCGGTGACGAGCGGGTAAGAAGCTGGGGACCTTACCCCGTGGAGGACTGGGCAGCTGTGAGGAAGGGGGCTCCTACCCCGCGGGACAGCCTGGGCGGACTGGGGAATACCGTGCTACGTGGACAAAGAGCACAGGGTCGCCCTTCGCTGTGGAAGCTACGGAGCAAAAGGAATGGGCCAACCACGCAAGACCGGAAGCAGGGAGGCTGGGACAGACTGACCGATCGGCCTCCGTGTGGGGCTGGGGAACGAGGAGAGATAAACCAAAGAACTTATATACTCACTAGCGGCCGGCGCACGGATTCGTGCACGCTGAAAGGAAATTAAATAGAAGAAATATCTTGATATCGCTATGCGCCCTTTCTCTATAATAGAAGTGTCGGCCAAGTTCACAATCAGCAATGACAGATGGAAACACACGCGTGTGATTGGCGCCAGAGAGCTTTATATGTATTATATCTCCCCCATGTGTGAGTCATCTTAGCCTTTTATAGATGAATTTGCTTCATTAGACCTGCTTTCTGATGTAGCTAAACTCTTTCCAGCCCAGTGAAGCACCCCAACTTCTCTTTTAGGTAACTGTCAGCAGCACAGCAGTAAGTATCAACACGAAGCAGATTATCATTGTTGATCAGGCAGGGAGAACAAAGGGTAAAATGTTTAACTGCAGCAGTGTTTGACTATATTCCGCGAAGTGAGAAAACCTGAAGTCATTTTCAAGGCCCACCACTTCTTACTTCTTTTCATCGGGTCAAGTTTCTAAGCTTTCTAAATCTCCGTTTTCTGGCTAATGAAAAGACAATGGGATTCCACCGAGCCTATCTGCCCACTCCAGGACCCAATGAGGAGGCACGGAAACGCTTCCCAGACATCTGGTCAGTGGGAGTGTCTGCACCTGCTGTAAAGCAAGTCGGGTCTCTGGGCTGAAGAAACAAGGAGGCTCCTCGCCGGGGAGAGGAGGCCGGCGCTGCTCCGTGACGTCATTACCTGGCGCCCACAGCCGCCATTTCCGGGCTGGGCTGCGGGCTGCTTTTTGTGCCACGGGGTCTCGGCAGCGTTGGCTGAGATTTGGTGGGCTGTCGCTCTGGGGGGAGGGGGGCTGTGTCCCGCTGGGGAAAGCTGAGTGTTGCTTTGTGGGCGCCAGGTCTGTGGTGCCGTATCTCTGTGTGTGTCATGGCAGCTCCTGCGTTGAGTGTCTGCCCCTGGTGGTTAGTGAGCATCATGGTGACTGGTTGGACAGTCAGACACTTAGCATATTAGCTTGCTAGATAGATAGATAGATAGATAGATAGATAGATAGATATTAGATAGATAGATTGATAGATGACAGATAGATATATAAATAGATAGATGATAGATAGATAGATGATATATAGATAAATAGATGATAGATAGATAGATAGATAGATAGATGTTAGATAGATTGATAGATGACAGATAGATATATAGATAAATAGATAGATGATAGATAGATAGATATCGATAGATAGATAGATAGATGATAGATAGATGATAGAGATAGAGAGATGCACAGGCCATGGACAGGGCTATGGGATAGTGAAGATCCGGTGGGGACCGGAGAGGGACTGAAAGGAGGAGGCTGGGGGAGGGGGGTAAATGAAAGACATCTGTAATACTATCGACAATAAAAAATATTTTTCTAAAAAAAAAACAAGGAAGGAGGAAGGAGGAAGGGGTGTGAGAGAGGCGTCGAGCAGGGCACGTCCTAAGATATGCGAGTGAGGAAGCTGACGCCACATGAAAAGAGGGATCTGTCCAGTCCAACTTTCCCTGAATCCCAGACCCACAGACCTAAGCAAAATGTGGGCCGTCTGCTTCAGGCCACTGCCTGTGGGTGGACCAGTCCTTCTTCCTTTTTAAAATATATTTGTATTTATTTCAGAGAGAGAAAGGGGGAAGGAGAGGGAGAGAAACATCCATGAGGAGAGAGAACCATGTATCTGCTGCCTCCTGCTCGCCCCACACTGGGATCCAGCCTGTAACCAAGGCCCGTGCCCTGGACCGGGGGTCGAACCGTGGCCTCCTGGTTCCCAGGGTTTGCTCAACCACTGGGCCACGCGGTATTTTTCACATCTGTCCTATACTGGCCGGTATCTACTGATCAATGAGCTCATCGATTCCCTCCTCGACCAGCACAAACCACTCCGCGCAGCCCCTCAGCCCACGGTCCATTCGGGTCACTTCCTCTGCAACGCGAGGGCTCCCGCTTGGTTCTCTCCAGCAGCTTCTGTGCCCTCCCTGACGCTCCCTGTTTGTCAGTCCCGGGCGTCAGATCTTGTTCTAGTTCTTTGAACACACGTACAAGAGCTGCTTGGCAGTTTCGGGGTCCATGCAGAGGCGGTTCCTCTCGGCTGCTTCCCCACATCCCTCCCCGCGCCGGCTCCTGCCGGACAGACACCGGGGCTGGCGCCTGGTGACCGAACCCCTCGGCTCTCCCCCGGGACCTGCCGGTGACCCGTGTCCGTCACACCCTGCGTGTTGGTGAGGCCTCTGTCCAGGCCCCGGCTGGCACGCAGGGACCCGTGATGTCACGTACACACACGGCGACCCCGAAGGTTATCTGCTCTCCCGGAGCCCCAGTCACGGGGACAGGGGGAGCCTCGCTGCGGTCACCAGAGCAGACATCACAGGGACGCTGACCCCGACCTGGGACCCCAGACGCCCAGCCGCCCGGCGCGCTCTGTCCCCCGTGAAGGGCGGAGCCCGGCTCCGGGGCCACCTTCCGGCCAAACCCACGGTCCGCCCGCCGCGGGCTCACTGCGGGCCGGACTCGCTGCCCGGTCCCTCACCAGGGCCGTCTCCATCGATGCACACGCACGCAGAGGGGCGGCTGTGGCTGCTGTGACCGGCTGGGGGGCGGCCACACCCACCCCTGCACCCCGAGGTCCCACAAGCCCCCCCCCAGCCCGCAGGCAGCCGCGCGGAGCCCCGTTCCTGCCGGTGGAAAGAGCTAAGGCTGTGGGTTCTGGTCTGGCTCACAGCCCCCACGGCCGCTCAGGGCACAGAAACACCCTGCAGGCATCCAGGGGGCTTCAGCCCTCCTGCCGCTCTGGAACCGGGCTCCGGAGACCAGTGCTGGGAACGAGGTCCGCACCCCCTGACCCCGGCTCCGAGGTGTGGGCCACGCCAGCAGGAGGCGAGAACCTCCAGAGGCCGCCTCCGAGCAGACGGCCCTGGCCGCGCCCCCCGCCCCCGGCTCACAGACGGCGGAATCTCCCATTACAGTGGAAGGGGATGGGGGGTTTTAGGTGGGACGTAGGAAGGGAAACAGTGAGTCATTCATCTGTGAAGGTCTTGGAAGCAAGGGCAGCAAGACAGACAATGTGGCTCAGTGGTGGCGTGTCGCCGAGGACCCCGGAGGTCAGGGTTCGATTCCTAGTCAAGACACAGGCCCATCCTCAGGAGGGGGCGTGCGGGAGGCAGCTGATCCACGATTCTCTCTCATCACTGACGTTTCTATCACTGTCCCTCTCCCTGCCTCTCGGACGTCAATAAAAACAAACAGGCAGATGATGAGACGGCCCCAGGCTTTGGCTGATAACACACAGGCAGGGAGGAAGGGGCTGGGGACTGGGGGCAGAGGCGCCTCTGCAGTTGGCGGGGGGAGGGGGGGTTACAGGAAATGGTCAGCTCGGGAGCAGACCAGCTCAGCGGGGTCTAGCGCACATTCGATCCTCACCCCGCCCGGCGGAGCTGAGGCGCAGAACTGAGTGAGGCTTGGGCCGGCCTCGGGGTCGAAGTCCCGGGAGGCAAAGGAGCTGAGCTCACCAGCCCGTGCTCGGCTCACCGCCCACCAGGCCCTGTGGACTCTGACACGCCGTGAGGTCCCACAGAGCAGGCCTGTTTGTTCTGCTTTTAATACGTTTCTATTGACGTCAGAGGGGAAGGGAGAGAGAGAAACACCAATGGTGAAAGAGCATCAGGGACCGGCTGCCTCCCGCACGCCCCACACTGGGGATCAAGCCCACAACCGGGGCCTGGGCCCTGACCGGGAATTGAACCCTGGCCTCCTGGTTCCTAAGTCGATGCTCAGCCCCTGAGCCATGCCGCCGGGCACATTGAACATCTTTAGATCGAGAGTCCTTCTCATGGCAAAGCCGGTGTGGCTCAGTGGGTAGGGCGTCGGCCTGCGGACTGAAGGGTCTGATTCCGGTTCAGAGCACAGACCTTGGTGGCGGGCATATCCCCAGCTGATCCATGTTTCTCCCCATTGATGTTTCTAACTCCCTATCCCTCTCCTTTCCTCTCTCTCTAAAAAAAAAACAACAAAACAATAAAATATACTATAAAAAACAAAAAACAGAGTCCTCTCAGGCTGAATGGCATGCAGCCCGGTGGAGGGAGCACGTGAGCACCCGTGGATCTGACACGTAATGAAACCCAGCTGATGGCGCCGCACCCTCCCGGCCACCCCTCGAGGCGCGCACTGCCAGGCTCCTGACTGACAGGGAGGCCTGGAGGCCGTGAGCACAGCAGCTCAGACAGCGTGGCCGGCTCCAGCCGGCTCCCGGAGCCAGGATCTGCATGCAGCGTGCCCTCCTCCTGAGCCGGTCCCCACGGGCAGCGTAACCCGAGAGGCACAGGAGCCGGCCGCCAAGGTGAAGGTGACTCATTCCGACAGGCGGGGGTCGGGGAGGCCGTCAGCCAGAGGCCAGCAGAGCCAGGGCCAGAGCCCAGCACCCATGCCAACACAGAGGGGCTGGGTGTGGATAGTGTGTGTGTGTGTGTGTGTGTGTGTGTGTGTGTGCCTGCGTGTGCGAGTGCATGTGTGTGTGAGTACATGTGAAGTACAGCGGCTCATTCCGTTGGGACCATCTCGATGGAGGCGTGAGAGCTGCCGCTCAGAGCGGGCAGGACGGGGGCCACGGTGCCCGCGGCTGAGCCCCGAGCGCCCGCTGCTATGTTCTCAGAAGCTCAGGGCACGCCAGCCCGGCTCCGGCTGGTCTGCTCCGTGATCAGGGCGTCGGCCAGGGACAGAAGGGCCTCGGGTCCGATTGCTGGTCAGAGGCCCGGCCCAGGCAGCAGGTGACCATCGAGTGGGTGTGTCTCCCGCTCCCCGTTCTCTCTAGCAATCATTGGGGGCGGGGAATATCCTCAGACGGACGAGGATGAAAGGAAAGAAGGAAAGCCGGCCCCACCCCCGTCTCCGCGGTGCTCCTATTCCTTCAGAACCTAAGCCAGGATGTTTACGGCGTCGTAAGCCGATGACAATCTCTTTGTTCCTCCGACTTAAGCAAACAGAGGCCACGGGCAGAACCTTGGCCGAGGAATGACCTGACCACACGCGACCCCGGAGCAGACAGACGGTCCCTCTTCACAGACCCCTGGCGGCCGGAACGGGGTCCGGGCCTCGCCCCCGGCCTCGCCTCCCAGAACCCCCTCCCCGTCCGCCCTGGCGGCGTGTCCGCAGCTCTGGGGGTGCTCGTTAGAGCCGGCCGGCGGGGCTCGGGGGGAGCGTCCACCTGGGGACCGGGGGGTCACGGCTCGAGTCCCAGTCAGGACACAGGCCGGGCTGTGGGCTCAGTTCCCAGTGAGGGGCGTGAGGGAGGCAGCTGATCCGTGATTCTCTCTCCTCATTGATGTTTATCTCTCTCTCCTTCTTTCTTCTCTGAAATCAATAAAAATGCTGTTTTTTTAATTAAAAAAATAAAAATAAAACCGGGCAGGCGGGCGTCCCCTCGCACACGGCCGCGCACCCGTGTCCGGAGGCACTGGCATGCAGACGGGCTGCCCGTGTGTCAGTCGGGCGGACGGCTGCGTGGCTCCCCTTCTCCCAGCTCCGGGGAGGGCGCTCTTGCCGCCTCCGTGAGGTTAGTCCCCACACTCGCGCCCGCCCGGGGGCGCCTCCTTCATTTCCGGCTCCTTCAGGGGCTTATCGTCGCCGTCACCACAGCCCGCGGCCTGACCGCCTGACCCGGCGACAGGCCCTTCCCGCTGCCCCAGCCCCGCTCACGGCTCAGCGCTGGCTCCGTGCGCTCCAGGCTGAGCCTCTCGGAACCCGGCCGCTTCCCCACGCAAAGTCAGGCGAGCGCACAGAGGCTGCCTGTGCCCGCGCCGCCCCCCAAGGCACGGCCTCGGCACCACGGAGCCCCGCTCCGGCCCAGCCTTCCCGCGTCCGGCCCACCCTCCCGCCTCAACCCTCTCCACCCCATCCCATCCCTGTCCCCAGAGCCGCCAGGCCTGGGCCTGAGGGAGGAAGCAGGGGCGCCTGAAGGCAGGTCTCAGAGGCCAGGGGAAGGGCTGCTGTTCTGCAGGAGCCGTGCTATCATTCATCCATCCATTCATCCATTCATTCATCCATTCATTCATTCATCCATTCATTCATTCATTCACTCATTCATCCATTCATTCATTCACTCATTCACTCATTCATCCATCCATTCATTCCCTTGTTCATCCATCCATTCATTCATTCATTCATCCATTCATCCATTTGTTCACTCATTCATCCATTCATTCATTCCCTTGTTCATCCATTCATTCATCCATTCATTCATCCATTCATTCATCCATCCATTCATCCATCCATTCATCCATTCATCCATCCATTCATCCATTCATCCATCCATTCATCCATTCATTCATTTGTTCACTCATTCATCCATTCACTCATTCATCCATTCACTCATTTATTTGTTCACTCATTCATTCGTTCGTTCATTCACTCGTTCATTCATTCCCTCATTCATTCCCTCATCCATCCATCCATTCATTCACTCATTCCTCCATCTATTCATTCATTTGTTCACTCATTCACTCATTCAACCATTTATTCATTCACTTATTCATTCACTCATTCCCTCGTTCATCCATTCATTCACTCATTCATTCACTTGTTCATCCATCCATCCATTCATTCATTCATTCATTCATTTGTTCGATCACACGCATTGAGAATATAGTCTCCTGGGACCTGGGACCTGGGCCCACTCAGGAAACAAAAGCGGGAGTGGCCAGATGGCAGCCACAGAGCCGGCGGAGTGGGAAGGCAGGACAGGTTACTTAATAACCTCACACATTCAGAATTAAAATGGAGAAGAGACTCCAAAGGGGGTACAGCTCTGCGAGCACGTGACCAAGAACCTGTCCTAGTCAGGGGCCGAGACAAGCTCCCGGGTGTGAGGTGGCCTGGACGCTGCAGGATCCCGAGGGGGGAGGAGGGAGGCGGGAGGCGGGAGGAGGGAGGAGGAAGGGAGAGGAGAGGAAACAGGAAGGAGGAGGAGGAAAAGGAGGGAGGAGAAGGAAAGATGGAGGAGGGAGGAGGAGGGAGGGGCAGGGAGAAGGGAGGAACAGGGAGAAGGGAGGAGAGAGGAGGAAGAAAGAGGGAGGAGGAGGAGGGCGAAAACAATATTCCGGGAAGAGGAGAATATCCCAGAGTCCTGTAGCTCCTTGGAGAACAGGCGGAGGGCTGTTGGGGGGGGAGGGGGCAAGAAAGCGGGCTGTACCCCTAACTCCTTCTTCAGCCCCCATGGCCCTGAGGCTGCCGAGCAGCCTGCACCCCCACCTCCAGCAGCCTGGGCTGAGCGAGCCGCTCCCCCACGTTCCCACCCCAATGCCCCGTCCCTCCCCCTAGCCGCTCCCCCAGCTCCCCCTGCCTCAATGCCGCCCTCCGCCCTCCGGACACACCCTGCTCCGTGTCCTCACGAAGGCCCCCTGAGTGCCTAGCTGGGTCCCTCCCGCTGGACACGGTGCCCGGGACCCCCACCCCTGTCGGCAGCAGACTGACGTCCGCCTGGAGGCAGTGTCCTGCGAGCGGGCACCCAGCACCGAGGCCAGGGACAGGGCGCCGTCGCCGGGAAAGGTGCCCAGGACAGACGGCCGGGAAGGCAGGCCGGCACGAGGGCACTGGGCGGGTGAACCTCAGACCAGAGGTTCGGTCCCGGGAGGAGCCACAGAGAGAGCCCTGCAGACGGTCCCTCCCTCCCTCCCCGCAGCGGCTCCCAGACGGCTCCGGGCACAGGGAGGCCATCTCAGCAGAACGGTACGTCACCGCCACTCCCCGCGGCGGTCCTAACACACACCCTCCCACCGGGGCGGGCGGGGGTCCAGCAGGTGTCAGAGCCCGAGGAGGAGGCCGGTCCCCCACCGCCGCTCAGGGTGCCGCCATCCCTGGCCCTGCCTGCGCCCCGGGGCCGAGGAAGGATCCGGACACGTTCACGTGGGGGGAGCCCTGGCGTGTAGGGGCGGGGCCGGGCTGCAGCCACACCTCCCACAGGGACGGGGAGCCTCACACCGACCCCCACCGGCCCCACAGCGCCGACAGGGCGAGGCCAGGAGCCTGGCGCGGGTACACGGGGGCACACGCGGTGATCTCACAAGTCTGGACACAGCGATCACAGTGTGGGGCCATTTTAACGCAGTGAGGTTCTGCCTGACCAGTGGTATTTGTGGGTAACACATGTGTGTATGTGCGCGCATGTCTGCGCATGTGCGCATGCGTGCTTGTGTGCACACGTGTGTGTGCAGGTGTGTATGTGTGTGTTTGAGTGCACACATGTGCGAGCAAAGCGGACACTTACCTGTGCATGTGCTCCATGCCGATGAGGACCATGATGCAGTAGGAGATCCCGCTCTGCACCAGGAAGTGTAAGGCGTACCTGCGGAGAGGAGAGGGCGGTGAGACCGGGCAGCACCACTCACAACGTCCGGTTCGAACAGCTTAGGCTGGAAAGTGCCACGCTTAGCCGGGCCGGCTGGCTCAGGGGCGGAGCGTCCACCTAGGAACCAGGAGGCCAGGGTTCTAATCCCGGTCGGGGCACAGGCCCCGGGTGCGGGCTCCATCCCAGTGTGGGGCGAACGGGGGCAGCCAGTCCATGATTCTCTCTCATCATGGATGCTTCTCTCTCTTCCTCTCCCTTCCTCTCAGAGATCAACACACACACTCTCTCTCTCACACACACACACACACACACACACACACACACTAGTGGCCCAGTGCACAAAATTCGTGCTCGGGGGTCGGGGGGTGGGGGTTGTCGCTCAGCCCAGCCTGTTCCCTCTCCAATCTGAGACCCCTCAGGGATCAGCCTCAACTGCAGTCGGACATCCCTTCCACAATCCAGGACCGCTGGATCCTACCTACTCCCCTGCCTGCCTACTTGATTGCTCCTAACCACTCTGAATGCCAGCCTGCTCGCCCCCAACCGCCCCCCCTGCTGGCCTGATGGCCCCTAACCGCCTCTGCCTCGGCCCCGCCACCATGGCGTTGTCCAGCAGGACGGTCTCCGGTCCAATTAGCATATCGCCCTTTTATCAGTATATTTACATACGAGTGCACAAGTAAAGTGCTGAGCATGACACAGAGCACCCCCAGATGAAAAGCAGACTCAAACCTCAAAGCCCAGAACCCGGACCGCCAGCCCCTGACGAGCCAGGAAAACAAGAGCCAACCCGACCGCACCCGGTGCCCTCACACCCCACGTCTCCTAGCAACGTGCCGGCGCCGGCACCGTGGCTCCGGGCGGCTCTCTGGCCCCTGGAGTGTGGCTCTTCCACAAACACCACGGCCTGGGTGCGTCTCTGTGGAAGAAGTGGCGTTAGAAGGAGTTTAAGATTAAAAAATGCGGCTCTCCAGAGAACTGTCAGTCGCTGTCCTGCTGATATTTGGCTCTGTGGACGGGGGAGTTTGCCGACCACTAGAGAGCATGCATGCCCAACCTGCTTATTCTGAAACAGGGTGTGTGTGTGTGTGTGTGTGTGTGTGTGTGGAATGAGCTTCCTGGGGGCCTAGCGTGCAGGACCCAGCCACACACCCTCCGCCAGAGGCCCGGGAGCCCGGGGCGCTGCCCTCCCCGCCTCAGGTAAAGCTCCCGGGGGCTGTGGCTGTGATCTACCCCCACCCCCGGTGGCCGCAGACGTTCACGCCCCTTTCCCCGGGCAGCCGGATCCCTCACGGAAAAGTTTTCAGGTCACTGCACACGGTTTTAACGGACTGATGCGGGTCCTAACCTCCGTTAAAGTTACCTTCAGCCTCGGCGTCATGGAGTAACAGGCCCCTCCAAAGTGGACAGGATGCCTACACTCTTTACCAAGTTTTTCCATAGAAATATCATAAATAAGAAGCAGGTTCACCGAAACTGGTGTGGTTCAGTGGATAGAGCATCGGCCTGCGGACTGAAAGGTCCCAGGTTCAATTCCGGTCAAGGGCATGTACCTTGGTTGTGGGCACATCCGCAGTAGGGGGTGTGCAGGAGGCAGCTGATGGATGACTCTCTCTCTCCGATGTTCCTAACTCTCTATCCCTCTCCCTTCCTCTCTGTAAAAAATCAATAATATATATGTTGTTGTTGTTTTTTAAAAAGTAGGTTCCACGGTAGAACACACACACACACACACACACACACATTCACACACTCACATGGCCTGGAGTGCTGCTATAAACACACACACACACACACACACACACACACACACACACGGCCTGGAGTGCTGCTATAAACACACACACACACACAGACACACACACACACACACGGCCTGGAGTGCTGCTATAACACACACACACACACACACACACACACACGGCTTTAAGTGACGTGTCTGTCTGTCTTGGTGTAAGAGATTTGTAAAACAGGCGAAGAGAGCTATGCATGATGGGATAGGTGTCTCTATCCTCCTCTGTCCTTTTTCATACATTATTCATCGCCAATGCCCTCAGCCCAGACTGGAGCGACAGGCCCACTCGCCACTCATTGACATAAAAACCACAAAGTGTTAGTCGTGGCTGGAGTGGCTCAGCAGGCTCAGCATCACACTGTGCACCAAAAGGTTGCAGGTTCGAATCCCAGTCAGGGCACAGGCCCGGGATGTGGGCTGGATCCCCAGTGGGGGGTGTGCAGGAGGCAGTCGGTCCATGGTTCTCATCATTGGTATTTCTCTCTCTCTCCCTCTCCCGTCCTCTCTGAAATCAATACAAATATATTTTTTAAAAATCCAGAAAAGCACTATGAGATTATTAGTAAACTTATAGAGGCCCGATGCATGAAGATTTGTGCAAAAATGTAGCTGCCTTTCCCCCTTCCCACGCTGCCCAGAGGCCCAGAGCAGCTTGGTTGGTGCAGGACACCCACCTCCAGCTGCTCGGCACCTGTGTATGCAAATTAACCCGCCATCTTTGTTGGGTTACTTTGCATACACACTCCTGATTGGTGAAGGTACGATCAATTTGCATCTTGCTCTTTTATTGGTGCAGATATGAGCACAAAACCTACACATTCGATTCACAAGGACGTCACCATCCTCATTCCACAGGATCAACATACTCACCACCCGAAGCAGAAAACGGCGAGATACAGGCCCAAGAGCGTGGCCACGACATGTCTGACAGAAGAGCTCGTCTTGCTCGCGTGAAGGTAAGTCCGAAACCACACGGCCGCCAGCAAGGCAGAGAGCTGGCACACCACGAAGTTGACCTGCGAAGAGACGGTGAACGGCCCCGTTAGCAGCGCAGACTGGATTCTCCAAGTTTCTCTCTCATCACTGATGTTTCTCTCTCCCTCTCTCTATCTTCCTCCCTGACATCGTACCCCAGTCACCTGGGAGCGGCAGCCCATAAGGACAGAGGACAGGGGACTGGGGCCCCTTCGCTGCATGCTCTCTCCCTCTGCGTTCTGCTCGGTGGGCCGTTAGTATCTGCCCTGCAGGATGCTGCTGGTCTCCCAGCTTCCAGACCAGCCCCTGAGCGCCAGGAATGAACATAATAACTGCCCCCGGACCCTGAGCTCCCTGCGGGCTGCATCCTCTGAGGCGTGGCAGGCTGGCCAGGCCTTACAGGAGAGGAACCTCCCACAGCTGGACGGAGGCAGGAAGCAGGCTCGCAGGGATGGAGGTCAGTACCACCTGCTGCCCGCCAGCTCCTCTAACCGCACCCCGTGCCCCCGGGGAGAGTCCTCGGCCAGGAGGAGCCACGGAGGGCCAGCTGCGGCGGGGGGGGGGGGGGGGTCCCAGCTAACCCGGCCACACGGCCACGTGATGAAGCTCGGGCAGGGCGAGCATGAGGGGACAGTGAGCCACGCTCTGACTGGCCTCCGGGCACAGATTCGGGGGGCGGGGGGATGCCGGTGAGGGGGCTGGTCTGCTGCCCGTTAGTCGCTCACTTCCTCCGACACGTGACTGGCAGGGAGCTCATCCCTAAACAGGATAAAGGGGATAAACAGGAAAGAGGAGCCAGAGCCCCATTTTACCAAGTGGGTTTGGAGCGTGAGGCTGCTCACGTGTGTGCCTGCGTGTGTGAGTGTGTGTGTGTGAGTGTGTGTGTGTCCCTCCACATCTGTCTCTCCGGGGGGACACACAATACCCCGAAGGCCTGCCGAGGGCAGCGGGCAGCGGGCAGTCTAATTCTCCGCGAGGGATGACAGGCGCTCAGGTCCGCGCCAGGACCCGGGGCGGCACGGAGGGAGGCCGCGGTCACACGGACACCGCCGCCCACACCACAGCCCCGGCGAGGGGGGCCTGGGCGACGGCACCTGCTGCGCCCGCTCCCTGATCGCTGATCAGGCAAACAGAAGCAGTCCGGGGTCACCGGGGACGCGGGGGAGGGAGCGGCAGGATCTGAAATAATCTCACAGATTGGTCTGCTTGCTTATCAGAATTGCTGCCGACATTTCCCGCACTCACTCACTCACTCACTCATTCACTCATTCATTCACTCACTCACTCACTCACTCACTCACTCGTTTCTGCGATGGCGATCAGAAGCATCAGCCCCAGCGGGTACAGCGTTCCTGTCCTGATTGAACGTGGGAGCAGACCTGCCCAGGGCCCCGCACGTGATCCGGGGGGAGACCGCCCCCAAACAAACAACAAAACCAAAGCCGCTTCGGTCCCTGGGAACGGACCGGCTCCCTCCTCCGCATCAGCAGGCTCAGCTCGGGGCGACCCACTGCCAACACGGCGGCTGTTTGAAGCTACTCTGCCTGCACCCAACACAGCGCCTCGTCCACAGAGACCGCGTCCCATAGAGCGTGTTCGCCTTAGGGACTCGCGGGGACGGGAGGCCCGGCCTCTGAAGCACTGCCAGCAGCACTAACGAGCACACGGTCCGAACGGAAGCGTTTAACTTCTCACTTTTTACAGAGTTTGGGAAGGTTTAGGACACAGCTGCCAAAAAAAGAAATCAATAAAATATATTTACTTATATATATATTAAAAAAATAAAAAATCAATAAAATATATTTGCTTATATATATTAAAAGCCCAGTGATTTCCTTATTGTTTCAGACTCAAGAAACCTCTTCTCGCCAAAGCCAGTGTGGCTCAGCGGTGAGCGCCGCACTCTGAGGGTGAAATACGAGTGACACACGCAGGGATCCCTCGTTCCACCCCCTCCCGGGTGCCTCAGCGCCGTTGCTCGGGCCTACGCCGCCATTTGCCCTGGGTTTGAGGTCTTGGCCTGTAAAAAGCCAAAAAGCCGGACACGTATTCCCAGTCATCTCCAACAGCCTTGGGTTTGTGGAGACCGGGGAACACGCCATAGCCAATCCCCCATTTCTGATGAGCAGTGACCCCAGCACCACAGCCATGCACAGTCACCTATGGGCTCAGTGACCGTCCCTAGGTGACTGCTCACTGTCCAGCACGCATAGGCAAGCCTCCTTCACAGAACTCGGAGTGAAGCAGCCTAAGTGCTTTCTATAATTACCAGGAAAAATATGCATGTGTGGTTGTTACTGCAAGAGACCAAAACTCACGAGAACTCTGAGGAGGAGAGCCGCTGAGCTGAGCCGGGTACGGGGAAAGGGGTCCGTTCCCATGGCAACTTCAGGGCGAGCCCTCTAGCCTTCGAGCCAAATGCTCAGCCGCTGTTCAAGGTCAGAGAGAGGCCGGGTCCCGTTGTAGTTCTCTTCCTTGTAAACGGCTTATGCACTCCCCTGACGTTAAGAAAGCGAACCCTTTCCGAGCCGCGGCCGACGTTCGCTGCCTGCCGGCCGGGCCTGAGGAAAGACCTTTTCCACCGAAGACTCCGAGAGGGGATCCCACGACTCTAATCAGCACCGCGCTCCACGCCCGGGGAACGCGCCCTCAGCTCCCCCACGGTGACAGCATCGCCACGCACTCGGCCAGCGAGTAACGGCTGCCGGGCTAATCACACCGACGGCGGGGCGGCCACTGGGCGGGCCGCGAGGGCCCAGCCGCCGGTCGGATTCCGTGCGTCGGGCCTCTTGTTCACGATAAAAACGCAGAAGCAGCAGCAGGAAGGACGCCGAGGGCGAGAGAACGGGCGTCCCAGCCTCGCTGGCTCTCGCCCCGCAGCCGGAGCCTCGTCGCCGTCCGGTAAGAGGAAGCTTCCCTCGCTCCGATCCCCGGAGGGAGACCTGCGTGAGGACGGAGCGGGCCGCTGGGGCCGCCGCTGAGATCTGCTGGACGACGTTCAGCTCTAACTCAAGGCCAATGCCACCCCCTTCGGACCCCTGGCCCGAGACCGGGTGTGGGGGACCCCGTGTCCCCCCCTCAGGTCACACCCCTCCAGCGTCCCGTGTGCTCAGACACGCTCTCTTGCACGGACACGCAACCAGCCGGCGGGGGACGGCCAGGCCGGCGCCTAAGGACACGGCTCGGGGGCCTGCCCGGTGGCTGCTATCCCTGTGGCGACTGTATTAGTGTGCGAGGATGAGGACACGATGGAGGCCAAGGCAGCCCGCCTGCAGGCCAGCACGCCCCGCCCGCAGTGCCCTGAAGGGGGCGCACTCGGACTCGAACGCTCAGGCACGGCCCCCTCTGGGGGCAGGAGCGCTCCCGCACAGCCCTCGAACCCCACACCAGGAGACAAAGGGGTGTGAGACCCCATTTACTAACGGGCCAGCCGCGTGGAGGAGGAAGGGCCGGCCCGGCCGGCGTGGCTGGGCGCTGGGCAGCTGGTGTCACCTGCTCAGCCACCCACCTTACGTAAACACAGCTCCGGGGTCTATCCATTCAGCCATTGTCGTCGCCGTTCATGTGAGAACTCGGCACGGCCCGGCATGCACCTTTGAAACGCTCTATTGTTCACCGAGATGCATTCAAGGCACCCCTGTCTCCGGGCAACCCGGCCTCGACCTCTGGAAACAGGCAGCTGCGAGGACGGCGGAGCCCGCCCGGCTGCCCTCGGTGTGACCAGACCTGCAGCGTTTCCCAGAGAAAAGGCAGGATCGGGCTTCGCGGCTCGTGTGTCTGTGCAGAGGGCTATTTTTAAAAATATATATTGTACTGATTTTTTACGGAGGGGAAGGGAGAGGGACAGAGAGCTAGAAACGTCAATGAGAGAGAAACATCGATCAGCCGCCTCCTGCACACCCCCTACTGGGGATGTGCCCGCAACCAAGGTACACGCCCTTGACCGGAATCGAACCCGGGACCTTTCAGTCCGCAGACCGACGTTCTATCCACTGGGCTACATCGATTTTGGCCAGAGCTGTTTTTAAAAATATATACTTTATTGATGTCAGAGAGGGAGAGGGAGAGGGAGAGACAGACAGAAACATCAAGGATGAGAGAGACATGGATCGGCTGCCTCCTGCACGCCCCACACTGGGAATGGAGCCCGTAACCCAGGCCTGTGCAAGGAATCGGACCCTGACCTGCTGGTCCATAGATCGACACTCAATCAATCACTGAGCCCCGCGGGCCGGGCGAACACCCGCCTGTGTTAACACGCATGCACCGAGTGGCCTGAACACGCCTAACGCCTGTTAGCGGCAGCTCTGACCTCGCACAGGCAGGAGAAGGTCTCCATGGGATAGCAAGTTAAACAGGATGTTCATGGTTGTGGGAAGCCAGACAAGAGCCAGGCAAGCCGGCCTGTGTGAAGTGCCGTCCGTCCGTCCGTCCGTCCGTCTGTAGGACCCTGGTGCCCACAGAGCACCCGCTGAGGACACCCGCTGAGGGCACCCGCTGAGGCCGAGGCCAGGCCCCGGACTGCCGAGGCAGGGCCGTGGCGGGAGGGCCAAGGCGGCGTAGGGGGCAGAGCCCAAGGAGCCCTCTGGAGGCCCGAGGGGGGGGGGGGGCAGAGCGGACGGGCCTGTCTCTGCGGATAAAGGCGGCTCCTTGGGGAGGGTCTGATAACGGCCGGCAGAGCTTCTCGCCAGTGCCCTTCGCCAGCCGCCTCCGCTTCCTGTGGATCGTCAGCCGCATCCCCGCGTCGGCCAGCGGCCTCCTGCACACCCACTGGGGACGTGCCCGCCACCAAGGCACATGCCCTCGACCGGGAATCGAACCTGAGACCCTTCAGTCCACAGGCTGACGCTCTATCCACTGAGCCAGCTGGTCAGGGCGAGAACAGGTATTTTTAACAACAATCCGGTGGTTTGGGGACGGGGCCGCAGACACGCCATGGAGACGCGGGGACTGGTGAGCACGGCCCTCACCGTCCCCGGCCGGTGTCAGCGGGCGGCTGCCGCGCTGGGGAGGAGGGAAGGGGACCCGCCCGGGCATCGCG